AATCATCAGGAGTAGAGATGTAATATTTAATGAGGAGGTGATGTACAAGGACAGAGACAATGCCAATGATAGCCAAAGCAGTGGGAGCAGCACTAAGGATGTAGGTGGATCCGAGTACATAAATTTGGAGGAACTTCCAGATGGGGGAGACAATGTTAGTTCTGATCGAAGAACGGAGGAGACTCTAGGTGCAGAAGCTACTACCCAGGACGTGGAGTTTAGGAGGTCATCCAGGGTACCCAAAGTGAATCTCAGATATCTCTCATCACTCGATTACTTACTCTTGACAGGTAGCGGAGAACCGAAGTGCTATGAGGAGGCTATGCAAGTGAGTGAATCTCAACAGTGGGAGCATGGGATGCAAAACGAGATGAATTCTCTACATACTAATGAGACATGGGAGTTAGCCCAGCTACCTGCACAGAAGAAAGCCTTACATAACAAATGGGTATATCAGGTCAAGCAGGATAGTAATGAAAGAAAGAGGTACAAGGCCAGATTAATCGTCTCCAAGTGGGAGATTATTGGTTTTGGTCATGTGAAGAACGAAACCTGAAACAATTCTAAGAGGTTGAAAAATCTCGGGTCGATCGACTAATGGAAGAGATCCGATCGACTGGAGAAACTACAGAAAATGAGCTCAGGAACTCACTCTGGCCGGTCGACCGAAGCTTGATGACGGTCGACCGAGAGTGGTCATCCGGTCGACCGAAGGTGATGGTCCGGTCGACCGAAAACGTGCACAAGACCCTGTAAGAAAACTACGTTTTGACCGGTCAACCGACACTTATGGTCCGGTCTACTGAAGTTAGTTTTTCTAGTTTCCCAATTTGTTTTGGAAACTGTTTTGGGTTGGGATCTTATATATACCTAAACATTTTTAGGGTTTGTAAAACACGTAAAAAAGAGGGTTTTGAGAAGATTCTATCATAGAGACCTCAGAGAGATAAAAACCTATTTGTGGGCATTATAATCTTCTTCAAATTAATCAAAGAATTGTATGGTGTGGCTCCCGAGGACGTAGGCACGCAAGCACAAAAAGTTGTGTTTGGTAGTGAGGTGTCACATCTTCCTCCACTCATTCAAATGTGGGACCACATTCACATGGATAATGAGTGGATGAGGATGTGACACATCACTACCAAGCACAAAATTTATGCTTGGTACCAAACATACCCATATTTCTCTCTCTCTCTCTCTCTATATTTATATATTTATATATATATATATATACACACACACACACACACACTAATACGTTTTTAGGGCTATGCTAGGGTTTGTAGAACACGAAAAAGGGTTTTGACGACTATTTGAGAGAGATATCTCAGAGAGATAAAAACCTATTTGTAGATATTGTAATCTTTTTCAATTAATCAAAGAATTGTGTGGTGTGGCTCCTGAGGACGTAGGCACGTTGCCGAACCTCATTAAATTTGGTGTGTTCTTTCTTGTTTATCTTTCTTGTAATTTTTCTTTTATTTGCGGCGATTTTCCTACTTGTTAAACTCTTAGCACAAGATCCGGAAGGGCACGGGTTCGATTGATTGTTTCGAACCCCCAACAGTATATAAGGTCATTATTTAGCTTGATGTGAAATAGATTGTTCAAACTAATGACTTTAAGTAAAAAAATTGACATGACCGGATCAAACCCTCCAATCACTTTCAATTCATTTATCAAGATGTTTTTCTTTTTTATAACTCAATCTAGAATCAAACCCAAGACAGTGAGAACCGTAATATTGAAAGCTTTCGATCGTCTAGATCACCCATGCTTGCTTATTTATCAAGATATTTAAGATTCATAATTGTTTCCGGTGTAACACATTATTGATCGAAATTATATCGAAAGCCCACAAAAACGTTACATGCCATTAGTAGTAGGATTTGGTAGCTCTTCTGGCCACTAGTCGGCCCATTGACTTTTTTGTTGATAGTAGCAGGAGAGAAATCTTGACATCAATTAATAAGAATTAAAAAAGCTATCATGCAAAACATTATAAAATCAACAAATGCATCGATACATCACGAAATTACTAGGGCTAGCTATGAACCCATCATGCATACGCTCTATCCTTCATTTGTTTGGCGATGTATTGATAAATATGACAACTAATCGATTCTTTGCACATTCAAAGCGTTTCTTTTTTCTTTTTTCCTTTGTGGAGTTTTGAAGTAGTACGTTAGAAACTTCAATGTAAAGAATTGGTAATCTGATAGAATGTCAAATCATCTTTAAGACGTACGAGAGACTGTTAGGCACACTTGAGACACATTTCAATTTACGAATTAAAACGCCTCCAAAATAGGCCCAGTAATGATGCCGGAATCTCTAATTTCAAGCCTAACCAAGTCTGTAAAGCATCCTTTGCTTCAGAAAATATGTTTGCTTTTGACATAATTACAATTGTGCACCATGAGAATTAAAGTGGGAATCGAATGGCGAAAACTTTCAGCGATACTTCAACGCCGGCCACAATCATTTTACCTGAAAAGCAGTATAGAGGTCTGTTTCGCACTTTCTTTCTTTTAACGCAATGCGATATCCTAAACACGCACCTTAAATGTGCATAATGCGAACCTGCACGAGACGTTCATTTTCACGGATGTGAGATTTACTTTCTTTGTAAGTAATTTTTAATCACGTCGCGGTTTGTGTACTACCAATCGTCCAATAAAATGCATCTCCAGCAAAAGGTACAGTCATATTTGATATTGAAGCGCCGATCTAGGATCGATACAAGACGAGGCGCAATAGCCTGAAAGCTTGTTCCTTGGTCATTAATAGGGCGTGCCTGATCAGTGTGTTTTCTTGAACTTGTAACGTAGACTTTGGCTTTTGATGACTTGGTGATCCATCAGGTAAAATATGTAGTTGATGTATTCTTATTTCTTCTACTTCATGATCAAAGGTAAAGAGCAATTCAACCCTGTGCTTGTGATTTTTCGCAGCTTCTTCTCCCTCATAAAACTCCGGAAATCGTGTGGAGAACTAAACATTTAGCTTGCGGACGCTCAGACGCCAACATATTCGCCGTGATTTGCTATTTGAGCAACGATAGATGCTTTTTATCCAGCCATTTAGTGCGCCTGTAAATTACGTTTACGGTAAGAAAAGAATCACACGGGGGTGAATTACGCGTATCATGAAAAAAGAAACTTGTGTCAAAACTCTCTGCAAGAAATATAACCGAGTTAACTACTGCTGGCAAGGTGAAGGAACGTGTAAGAGTATTATCAGACTGAGCCGCAAAACGTACTATATTTGTCAAAAGGTGGGGTTATTGCTCTATCTCCTTTTAAATTAGTTGCAGTTAATGAATGACTAATGATAGCTCTTCATCGCCTCCTCAAATTAAGATGCTAGTAGTTTATAAGTGGATTACTTAAATGAGTGCAAGTGCTTCAGAAGGCATATACAAAAGAGAGTGAATGAAGCAAACCATTTTTAAATTTATATATGTATGGTTGATAGGCAAGCTTACAGGTTGGACCTCACTAATTTCAGGTGCCAATAGTTATATGTGACAAAATTTATTATGCACACTATTCCTCTTCGTACTAGAGACCACTATTATTAACATCCTTTCTTCAACATTTTTGTGAACCAGCTCTCCTTCACTATTCTATGAACTGTAGCTCCTCATGCTTGATTTATTGCTACATACCATAAGGAACAAGACAACTGCTTATTTCTGCATGCGTAAAGCAAAGGCCCTCAATTTTTGAAACATAAACAGTAACAACAACAAATATCCTAGTGAGACTAATTGACTTGCTCCTTAGTATCAACCTTCTATGAACTGATCAGACAGTTGAGTCAGGAGTTTTTGTAAAATAAGGCTGAAAATTTTTAGCATTGATAAATACAAACCGGCCTATTGAGAACTTTGAAACTTAGCCCTGTGATTATTTGACCTTTTTAAATGTCTGGTTATTTTCTGCATAATTCTTAGTATTTAGTTTTTTTGACAGAATGTTTGTGTGCAGGTTTAGATTGCAGGGATTGATTCAAGTTCCGTTTAAAGAGGAGACACAACAACCAAAGGTCTATGAACGGTTCACAGTATTAGCAATCGTTGTTTTGAAGCTGTACCTCTTGTAGTTTCATTTTGGCGGACACACCCGTGTTTTTTGTAACTCTTTTTTACACTCGGAGCGAAATTTTGGTAGGTATTAGCTTTGGATGGAATTAGTGGAGCCTATCCGTGGGTAAAAGAGTAAGAAAAATTCACCCCGGAGTACGCCAGAGTTTGTAACTTTTCCTGTTTTACTTTCTCCTCGGTTTACTCCTTGATTTATGGGACCAAAACCCAACGCGCTTATGAATCAAAGGTCACCGCATTAGTCCAACCTTGTAATTGTCCGTGTACTTTTCAAGCTGGGTGCATAATTGATAATCTTTGAAAATATCCAATCTTGCATCGTCAGGAGATATCAAATTCTACATGCACCCTGACATAGACATGCTCTCTGATTTGAAAATTTTCTAGGCTCTGCATTCATCAAGTAGTAGTCCCTACTGAATCATGACGGAGCATGCCCCTCAAATTCATCTCATAATTGTTCCTGCGAGCTGCATTCATTTGTATGGTCCCACATAATACTTGTGGGCCCATCCTCACGATCTTTGTCTCTCACCATACACTACTCCGGGGCCCCACATCTCTCCATTACAGCATCCTTTCCCATCTGTAAAGAGGAACATGACCCTAACAAACCCAACCCACCCCCGTTGAGCAAAAGCTGTGGGGAGCCATAATTCAAGAACCCCCAAAATAACGCAAACAAAACATTTATCTGCAATTTTATGTTCAATCTATTTTTAGGACTACGTTTAAACAAACCAAGGCACAAAAATCACATAGGCACAAAAATCACATATATATATATATATAAGAACCAAATGTTATAAATAAGAACCAAATGTTATAAATAAGAACACCAAATGTTATAAATAAGAACCAAATGGTAACCAAAACAAGCACGAACACTACGTTTAAACAAACCAAGGCACAAAAATCACATATATATATATAAGAACCAAATGTTATAAATGCACCAACCAATTGACCACCACCCTCTCAATAATATTATCCTATACAATACAACAACACATAGGCGTGGCACAAAAATTATGAAACTATACCCAAAACCTCCCAAACCAAAACACAACCTCACTCACCGCCGGAACCCCGGCCATGGCGCTTCCCGTGGTGGCGACGGCGATCCATGAACCTCTCACCGCTCGACCGATACACATGCTTCGCCTCCCGTAAATCGACAGAGCACTCTGGCGTCCGTGTAGGATACCGTTCCCGGTCGTAGCAATACGAATACGTGACGTACTTCTTTCGGAAATCATTCATCGCCAACCGTTGTTGGTAGGAGATTGTGACAGAGTTGTAGCGGTCGGATTCTTGGTTGTTGCAGGTGGAGAGGTGGTTCGTGGGATCAACTGCGCAGCCGTGGAGGACGAGATCGGAAAATTCGGAGACGAAAGGGGCGTATTTGTAATTCACCTTGTAACGTCCACCTAAAGTGGCCCAATTTGATCCGTCCCAGATTGTGGCATAAAGAGACATGGGCTTTGAAGGGAAGTCCCCACCCATGGCTGGAGTCCTCACCATTTCTCTGATGGGAATGTTGTCAATATAGAATCTGCACAAGGAGTTAAACAGGGACAAATTAAATACTAGAAATAGGGCTAGAATGGAAAAAGTCCAGGGCATAGATATGACTAGAATTTAATCCAATTATAGCATAGTAGGAATAGGAGGAGCATTTCACTAACTAAAATTATCCTTTCTAGTTTTTCATGAAAAGAGAAAATAGAAATTAGAAAGCAGTATCTACATGCACTAGACTCTGTTTCAAAGTTGAAATAGAAACAACTTTTGTTCCATTAAAAACTGGATGGTAATGGTCAATTCTAAGTGTAATCAGCATCATACTCTAAAAGGTTGCGCTGAATTCTAACTTTCACTCAAAATAAATCATAACCATCTATTAAAGTATGATTGAAGAAATGGTCACTCTACTGTCAATTCGCAGTAAAGAGGATTCGAATTCAAAAGATGAAAGAATTTGAAGAGCCACTGAAAAGTGAGCACTTGCTACTATTAGTAGGTAAAGATCAGAGCAACCCAAATTAGATTTCAAGATAATCTTCACTCATCGAACAATCAAAATAGAAATCTAATTACATATAGGCTCCAAGTTAAGGTATGAAAAATCAATCAAAAATAAGAGGGAAAATGATAAAAACAGAAGATCAGAGTAATCAAGAACCTCTTAAATTAAGGAAGTTATATTAATCCATATAGCAGTACAGACTACCGCCTAAACTCTTTCAATGAATTCTGTGCTTCAGGTAAGAAATAATAAGGTCAATTGCGGATAGAACCCTTTTGTAAATCTATTGGTAACCCCTTCGTAGTTCTATTTGTGCGGATAAGCTTTGCCCAAGTGATGATAAACCCCGTGAGTGAACTTTATTTTTATTCTTTAAAGAGTAAAAAAACACACACAGGGTCTATTCCTACAAATATAACTATCCACACTTGGGCTAAAGTACAAAGGGTGTATCTACCATTAACCCAAATTCATACTAGAATTAGTAACATTTATTCAGAAATACAAGCAAAGCAAGCGCCGTGACACACTTAGTTTTCCATCAAACATACTGAACTCTCACACAAAATAACTAAAAGAAGCTAATTTCTCACACATTAGGCATGAAGTTAACCTAGAAGAGTAATCAAGAAAACAAGAAACTAGACCAAATATAATAGAACATAGAACATGATGTTGACAGAGAAGCAAAAGCACTAGAAGAATATCAATAATGATGGCAATCTCAAAGTCTTCATACAATGAATCTATGATAACTTACATGATCCTTTGATGGCTCCACAATATCGAGTAGCGATGAAAATCCTCAGTGGGATCGAACCAGAGGCTGTATCTCTCTTCTCTACCAACCCCTGTGCTCCCGTTTCCATAAATGTTGGTCTGAACTCTCCACTCTCTGCCTCTTATATTTCCCAAGAATTCAAAATCCAATTCATCATGAGTCTTCTCAAATACATCCCCATTTGACATCTATATCACCATCAGCAAAAAGTAATTTTAAGACAAAAGTAGTGTTAATTACTGAAATCATTATAATTCAACAAAAAAACACAAAAAATAGGAATGGTACCTTCCAATTCAATAAGTTAACTTGAGAGTTTTAAAAGTCCAATAATAAAGAGCTTCGTCACCTCCAAACAGGTAAACAAATAGAAAAAATAGGTTTACAAAACATATTATAAAAAACTTCCAGAAACATGTGATTGATCATGTGGAGTGTTGCTGCTCATCAATATACTGGCACATAAATTTTACGGGGGGTCGAAAAGGAAGGAACTGAGGTTTAAGTATTAAATATCTTGTTCTGATAACCATTAAAAGGATCACAAAAGGAAGTTTATTACTGTTATCAATTGAAGAGCTTAATCCGATTCAATTCAAGTTGAAATTTTTAACCAACCTACCTAAATTGGGTAGTACAACTGCTCAAATTATTGTCAGACAGATTGAATTGATTTTTAAGAAACAAAAGACAAGAAGTTTTCGCATAAATGGGTACAAATTGGCTTCAAGAAATCAACAAAGAAATCTTAGAAACTACGGAATATCCTGATATTGAAAGGACTCCTCCTTTGTAAATGGACAGAAGAGAAGAATCAATCATATTGTTATATACTTGGATGGGCACATATTCCCCATCTGACCCCAATTAAAGTGTTGGAGCATATTCACTATGGAATATTGTTCATTACAAAACAAAAACGGGTAGTGAAGGATAAAATAATTGATTCAATCACACAGAAAATTCATAATAATATACCAAGTTTTAAACTTTTCTTTTCCTTTTGGGCAAAACCCACATAGGTTTTTAGATCACTTCATCAAGCAAGGACATAACAGCATAATCACTTAATTCCTGGTAACCAAGGAATACACTTTAAACAACCAAAAGGTGCAATTTTTGAAAATTAGAGACAAACAACGTCCCCGGTAAGAAAACTCACATAGAATGCAACCACAACGCCGGCAGCATAATCAGAGGGCAGCTTGATGGAAGCGCTGAAGAACCCGTGAAGGTAAAGGTCTTGTGATGCAAAGCCAGCACCTGGGTTTTTGAAAAAATCGCAAAAAAGACCATCAAAATATGAAATTTTACACTGAAAGAAACAGGGGGGGGTGCAATTAGAGAAGAGGAAGCTAGCCTGATTTCTCGTCAAGAGAGATGTGAACAGTCTTTCCATCTCTAAGGAGCATGAGATTGTTGTCGCCAAAAAGCTGAGTGTAGCCTTCGTCAAAGGGGAGAGAAGTGTAGTTCTCAAAGAAAACACCAGTGCATGATACAGTGGTAGAGAAGAGGAGATATAGAAGAAGAGAAGAGATGATCAAAGCCATCCTCCTCCTCCTTTTGATCGCTTAATCTCTCTCTCCTCTGTCTCTCTCTATATCTATATAACTCCCTTGTGAAGGGAGTTTTTGTTGCTATTGGGCTTCTAGTTTCGTCCTGGCTCTCTCTCTCTGTGATTTTATAGGGAGAAAAGAGCCATCTCTTCCTCTATTTTTCTTGGGAGAGGAGGAAAGAAAGGTATGGGACTATGGGAGTTTGAAAGGAGAGAGGGGCTTTGGGGTGGCATTTTATTGGGGAACATGAGAGAGAGAGAGAAGAGAGATTCACCTTGAGACAAGAGTTTTTTTTTTTTTTTTTTGACTTTCTCTTGGATCCTTTTCCACTCTGCTTTTGAGAGGTAAAAAGAATAGGACAGGGAGGCACAAGGAGAAATAAAATATGGTGGGGTTTGATTAAAGTACTTTTGGAGTAGTTTTGGAGTTATGTGCTTTATAAATGGAGAGTTTAAAGCAGTAATGAACTTGGATTAGAGGGAACAAGAAAATGTATTGGTTATATATAAACTGTGGAAAGGGTTTTGGTTGATGTAAAAGTGAGATCTAACTGTATGAAGGTCATAAAGGTACAGTTTTCACCCAATAAATGCTTGGAATTATGCGCTTGTAGTTATTCAGGGGGTTATGTGCTTGTGTTGATGACCCGTGCGTACATCTTGCCATCTTTTTCCTCTCCTATGGGGTTATTGGTTGGGATATTTTGGGATAATAGGATAATTTTGGGGATTCTATTTTATAGTGTTACTCATTGGGACAATGAAAC